TTAGATCCCCGGTGGAGGCGGAGACAAATGGGCAAAATGTTTCTTTCACACTGATGCCCCTGTTACCTAGCAGTAAATAGGTACCTGAGAGTTAGACAGCTGCTACGGGCTGCTTCCTGGGGGGGGTGTAACAAAAAGGAGGCCTGTTCGAGGACTCGGCCGCGGGAACGCTAAGCCCCAAAATCATCTCAAGATAATCTCAAGATGGCTCCAGGAGCCGATGCTTGGTGCTCGATCAGGTCACATCTGTGGTTATTCCTTTCACTCCCCATCCCCCTCCAGCTTTTGCTGGGCCCATACCTCTGCTGCTCTCTTGATTCGTAGTGATGTTCTCTTTGCTCCCCTACTTTTTCAGTCGCACATTCAGTGTTCTGCGGCCCGTATCTTTGTGAGTAAACGGTATACAGCCTATTCCATTTATCTTCCCCTCCAATGTCCCAATTTCTCCTCCTGATCTTAAACACCTGTTGGACTCCTTACCAGAGCCTGTGTTCCTATTGGGTGATTTCAACCATCAGCATACCTCTGGGGAAATGCTCTAACAAACACCCAGGGCCGCCTTCTCCAACCATTTGTCCTCTCTTCTTCTCTATCTCTTCTGAATTCTGGTGAACCCACTCATGTTGACTCTCGCACCTGCACCCTCTCCTGTCTTGATCTTTCTCTACTCATTTTCGCTTTATTTGGATTTCACATGGCGGGTTCTTACCAACCTCCATAAGTGACCATTTTCCCATCCTAGTCACCACTTTTCACCCTCCCCTCTCCTTCCCTAGGTGGCAATTTGTCAAGGCTGATGGGAATCTTTTCACCCTACATGATGCTCTTTCCAACCTTTCCGAGCTACCTCTCCCACGAGCCCCCCTCCTCCTCTTTCTTTTCACGACACCATATTAGACGCTGCCCTCTGCTGACCGCTGTAAGCATGCAGCCTGGAAGAAACACCGCCACCGGCAGACGGCCGCTTCTTTTTTGTTTTGTTTTGTAGGGCCATCCGTACGGCTAAACGTGAGAGTTGGAAATCTTGCGTCTCCACCATTACGACTGACACTCCTCTGCCCCTGGTCTGAAAGAAAATCCGTAAGATAGTGGGTAAGTTTGTTCGAGATGTCTCGACTGTCCTTCACCTCTGTGTTTCTCTTATGGAGGATCCGGTGGTGGTCGCAACCGAATTGGGTTCTCACTTTTCGACTGTTAGCTCTGGTTCTCATCTTCCTCCCTCTTTCTTTACCCGTAAGCCAGTCTTGAATCTTGTCCCTTAGAGTTTCGCACACATCTCTAGCTTCCCTATAACGATCTCTTCTTTCTCTTCGAACTCCAGTTAGCCCTGACCCTCTGTGGTTCTACGGCAACGAACTCTGATGATATTCATTATACGCAGACGAGGAGTCACAATAACGTGGCTGAAATATGTTGACCAAACCACACTAGAAAGTGAAGGGACGACAACGTTTCGGTCCATCCTGGACCATTCTCAAGTCGAGTGTGAGTGGTCCAGGATGGACCGAAACGTCGTCGTCCCTTCACTTTTTAGTGTGTGGTTTGGTCAACATATTCATTATGAGATGCTTCGCCATCTCCCTACATGTACGTTTCGGTATTTACTGAATAGATATAACTGTATCTGGGAGTCTTCATCAGTCCCCGAGGACTGTCTTAAGGCAGTTGTTCTTTCTATTTGGAAACCCATAAGGACTTCGTCCCATTGTCCTCACAAGTTGCGTCTGCAAACTCTGAACGTATGGTCAATGTCCATCTGATGTGGTTCTTGGAACACTACCACCACCTTTCCCCTTCTCAATTTAGCTTTCGTAAGTCTCGCAGCACGACTGATGTCTTGGTGAACTTGGAGGTCTATATTCATACTGCCTTTGCTGCGAAGACCTCCCCCGCTGTTGCTGTCCTTTTTTACCTGGAAAAGGCGTATGATACATCCCCCTGGAGATACCATATTCTTTCCCAACTCCGTTCTTTTGGCCAACGTGGTAATCTCCCTCTCTTTCTATAAAGCTCCAGAACCTTTAGAGGTTCCTTCCTTTAGAGTGAGACTTGGTACCACTCTTTCTGCCTCTTTTCGGCAATACCAAGGTGTACCCGAAGGTAGTGTTCTGAGCGCTACTCTTTTTCCTGGTTGTCCTCAATGGTCTTGTTTCCTCCCTTCCCTCTTTCATTTTCTCGGCTCTCTCTGTTAAGTGGGGCCTGACAGCTGAGTGGACAGCGCTCGAGATTCGTGGTCCTAAGGTTCCGGGTCCGAACCCCGGTTGAAGCAGAAATAAATGGGCAGCGTTTCTTTCACCCTGATGCCCTGTTCACCTAGCAGTAAATAGGTACCTGGGAGTTAGACAGCTGCTATGGACTGCTTCCTGGGGGTGTGTAACAAAAAGAAGGCCTGGTCGAGGACTGGTCGCGGGGACTCTTAAGCCCCAAAATCATCTCGAGATAACCTCAAGATAACGTGACTAAAGCTTTTACCCCTCCTGCAGTTCTGAAACTCCTTTTCCTTGAACACTTTTCTTCACTCTCACTCCATTTCCGTCTTCACCGATGGGGTCTGAGTCTGCAGACGTGTAGGCTAATCTGTAGTTTCCTGACCACACCAATATGTGTCGCCTGCTTCCGGAGACTAGCATCTTCATGGCAGAACTTTATGCTATTGTGTTTACTCTTCATCAACTGCTTTCTCGCTGTCAGTCTTCCTTTGTTGTAGTTGACTCTGGCAGTGTCCTCATGGCTCTAGAGTTCTTTGATCCTGTGGTAATCGAAATTCATTATTGGCTGTTTCTTATCTCCATTAGGTTTAAGACAATGGAGTTTTGCCAGGTTCCCGGTCATATTGGTGTTTCCTTAAATGAGCGTGTGGACGCTGCCGCGGAGGTTATATCCGCACTTGTCCCATCTCCGTAAAGGTGTTCCTTATTCACACTTCTACCTGGTTATTCATTCCTTAATCCTTGCCCGTTGGCAGGGTCGTTGGTCTTCTGTTACTGGTAACAAACTGCGTGTTGCTAAGGGTAGCGTGTCCACGTGGCCTTCCTCCTACAACGGCTCTAGCGAAGTTACGCATTGGTCATATATGTTTAATTCACAGGCACTTAATGGAGCGCCTGCTCATTATTGTCTCACTTACGATCGTGCATATCCTTAAATTGTTGAATGTCCATACTTCTAGGATGTGCGTGTCTTGCTTCCCGACTGTCCCTCGCGATCGATTGATTGATTGATGAAGATTAAGCCACCCAAAAGGTGGCACGGGCATGAATAGCTCGTAAGTGGTGGCCCTTTTGAGCCATTACCAGTATCAAGAGCTGATACTGGAGATCTGTGGAGGCGCGACTGCACCCTGCGTGACGGGAGATGTCTCCCGGACCAAGTGGTGACCAGATGGTCCCTCGCGATCACTTATCCCCTTAATTTAATCCTTGGTGAATCAGATACCTTTGATTTAGTTCGCCTTATGCGCTTTTGTTCTCGCATTGGCATCCTTATATATGGTGATATTTAGCGCGTTTTGAATATCCCGAACATTTGATGGTGCTACATAGCCTTCCCGGCTTGGTGCCTTCTTTTGATAAATTACTTGCTTAATAATTTGTATTGTCTTAGTAAGACTTAGAAGCTTTAAGTCCAACCCCCATGAGCTGGACGGTAGGGCGATGGTCTCCTTTCCTGCAGGTCTGCGTTCATTCCCTAACCGTACAAGTGGTTGGGCACTTCCCTCCCTCCCTTTCCATACAGATTCAGATTCAGATGTTTATTCAGGTAAGGTATATACATACAAGTGATGTTACATTAATGGATTGATATATAGATAGAGCTAGTACATACAATGCCTAAAGCCACTATTACGCAATGCGTTTCGGGCAAGAAAAACATTAATATCTAGAACTTAATACTAATTGAGCATAAAGAATAAAAAGTGTTGAGAACAAATACAAATAAAGATAAAAAAAGGGGGAACATGACTGAAAAAGCAGCACAAATACAATAGGTTGACAAACAGTGTTGATTAAAAAAAAAAAAAGAAAATAAGACATGGGTTGACAATAGAGGAGTGAGGTAGATTACAGGGAATTTATTAGGTAGTGTTTAGTTTTTATCTTAAACTGGTTGAGAGAGGTACAGTCTTTAACATGGTTGGGAAGGTCATTCCACATTCTGGGTCCCTTGATTTGTAGAGCATTTCTATTTTGATTAAGACGTACTCTAGGAATATCAAAACTGTATTTATTTCTGGTGTGATGCTCATGGGTTCTGTTACAACCTTCTATGAAGCTTTTAAGATCAGGATTGGCATTATAGTTTAGCGTTTTATATATGTATAATACACATGAGAGAATGTGCAGTGACTTAATATCTAACATATTCAGAGATTTGAGTAGGGGTACCGAGTGATGTCTGGGGCCAGAGTTGGATATTGTTCTAATAGCAGCTTTGTGTTGGGTAATTAGAGGACGTAAGTGATTTTGGGTAGGTATACCATACCAAGTGGTTGGGTACCATTGGGTTGGTTGGGAGTTGAGTAACCCTGTCCCATCACAAGTAACTGGGCACCATTCCTTTCCCCGTCCCATCCCAAATCCTTATTATGACCTCTTCTAAGAGCTATATAATCGTAATGGCTTTGCGCTTTTTTAAGGTTCGGAATTTAATTTTCAAGCACTAATTAATTGCATCAATTATCTTTTAAATTTTTTATACAATTGGGCTGCACGAGTTTAGCAACATAAACTATAAATAACTTTTTGTTTTTTAATTTACCTCGGTTTCATTAAAGATGAATATCTTATTAAACAAAGAATGTTATAATAACAACAAGACTCGCGTCAACCATCTGGCAGTGTCAAGTGAAAAGCTATCCTCTTTTGTAACGCATTTCTCCGAATTAATTTTCTGTAATTCTAAATAAAAGTTAATATTTTTATCAGATAATATTTGAATTCATTTTTATTCAGAGTACTTAAGATTATAATTAATGGTTGTTAATGACGAGTGGGTGTAGTTGGTGTATTGACTGCTGTTGTTGTTGTTTGCCGGGAACAGCAAGGAAGAGCGCTTTGGCGGTCTTGGATCGCAAAATAAACGAAATTTTGTCAGAATTGCGTCAAAATGTCTGATCTGGAGGATGCTGTGGAGCCCATGGAGGTTGGGGAGAACTCCGTAAGTAGAGTCAGTCGAGTATAATTCCTGGGTGGGAAGGAAATGGCAGGAATCCAGGATGTTGGACCGCGATGCTTTCAACTAGGCAATACTTCATTGTTGCACTAGTTGTAGAGTTGCTTATATGCAGTAATACCCAAAAATATCCTCTAAGGGAATCAAGCAGGGCGTCAGTAATGTCATACATTGTATATAAAAATTGCATATAAAAAAGATAGTTTTGACAGGTCAAGTTAGGTAAGGATTAGCACAGCCAATTGTATAGTTAATTACTTAGTTAATGATAGTATTCTGTATTTGTTGACATCAAAGTAGCCTTTGACAAAGCAAAAGGGATTGCAATCCTGGATAAGCTTGCATGAATAGGTGTCAAGGGGAGACTTATGAAATGAATTGAAGACCACCTCACAGGGAGGCAAGCCATTGCTTCAACGGAGCAGTCTCGAGAACGATGAGTATGGAACTCGGGACCCCCCAAGGTGGAGTTTTAAGCCCCACACTATTTAACATACTTATGAACGCCATTGCAAATGTTGAATTTCTGGAACAAACACAAGTGGGATATGCAGATGATGTCGTACTAGTGGCTTTAGGTATTGTATATACTAGCTATCTATAAATCCAACATTATGTTTGTAACTAATCTTCTATGTATGTACTTTTACCTGAATAAATATTTGATTTGATTTGATGTCCTAATACAAGCTCCCTCCTTGGGAAAAATTAAACAGTCCATTGAACTCAGTTTCTCACACTCCACAAACAAGACAAAAGCATACTCTCATCACAAGCGGGGAAAAAATGAAGAACTGCAAATTAATGGTGTAACACTTGAATGGGTTGACCACTATTGGTACCTTGGCATCACTGTCGACTCTAACACGGGGAAGAAAGATAAGATTTCTTGAGGTTATCTTGAGATGATTTCGGGGCTTTTTAGCGTCCCCGCGGCCCGGTCCTCGATCAGGCTTCCTTTTTCTTACACTCCCCCAGGAAGCAGCCCATAGCAGCTGTCTAACTCTCAGGTATCTATTTACTGCAAGATGAACAGGGCATCAGGGTGAAAGAAACTGCCCATTTGTTTCTGCCCCCACCGGGAATCGAACCTAGAATCTCAAGACTACGAATCTGAAGCCCTGTCCACTCAGCTATCAAGCCCTAAACCAGCTCATAGGAACATGCAAAAGTTGACTCGGGGCACTGAAGGCTATGACCTGGAATGGACATGGAGCCTCTATTGCCGTGCTTAAAATGATGTACACAGCCTGTGTGCGCTCTTGTCACAAACTATGCTGTGCCAGTTTTGTGCACTTATTCCCAAAACGATATGAAAAAACTTGAAAGTATACAAAATAAAAGCCATGACAATCATTCTTGGGATCCCAAGCACTCGCTAAACATCTAATCTACGAGAGTAGTTGTCCCTCCCTAGTGTTAAAAGCAGAATTAAGGAACTGAATCTCTGGGTATCAGTTAAGATACCCAGAGATCCCTTTTGCAGTGATATTGCTAAGAAAAAACTTGAGTTCTGTGTTACAGGAGGAAATAGGAAAAGCATAAAATGGCATAACTGATCAGTATGCTACCTCGAAGAACTTCACCTGCTTGAGCAAGCCCATGAGCGCCTGCCTGTAGAGAGGATGAGCCCCAGACTCATCCGTCTTGGGAGGATGACCCATGCAGGATTATCATCAACGAGATGACAATGAAAAAGTCCAATATGTTACCACAAGAAATGAGGCACAAGTATCTTGAAGAAATTTATAAAGAAGCCTGATATGAATTATATCAAATCTAGACTGATGGGGTCATCTAATCCTACCAAAGGCAGGGCTGGTGCAGCATACACTGTAATTAGTCTCCGTGGTGTAGTGGTAAGACACTCGCCTGGCGTTCCGTGAGCGCTTTGTCATGGGTTCGTAGCCTGGCCGGGGAGGATTTACTGGGCGCAAATCCTTAACTGTAGCCTCTGTTTAACGCAACAGTAAAATGTGTACTTGGTTGTAACAACGATTCTTCGCGGTGGGAATCGTATTCCAAGGACCTGTCCGAAACGCTACACGTACTAGTGGCTGTACAAGAATGTAACAACTTGTATATATCTAAAAAAAAAAAAATAATAATAATTGGGAATAATGCCTTTTAAACTGGAAATAATGAAAAAGCACGTATTGAGAAATTATGCCTCTTCAACGCAAGCAGAGCTAACTGCCATTGTTAGGACTTTAGGATTCCTTGAACAAAACACTAACAGTACAGTGATCCTCACTGATTTCAAAACCAGCACTACAAAGCCTTAGTAAAAATCAGGCAATAAACCTTGCAATAGTCACCAAAATCAAGATAGCTGTGAAGGTACTAACCAATCAGGGAAGAGTTGTCAAATTCCTGTGGATCCCCTCCCATATTGGACTCTGGAAATGAGCAAACAGATTTCCTGGCTGCTGAAGGTGCTGAAGGAGACCGTATTGAATACTGTAGTTCATATCTAAGACTTCTACAAACTACAGGTATTGTTGGGCAACATCACCATGACAAGGTAACTGAGGAATGGAGGATAGAAGAACAAATCTGTGAATTTGTACACTGGTACAATATGGTTGCAGCTGATATTCCCAACGCTTTGGAAGAAGAGAAGGTGGCCAAGAGTAGGAATCGGTAATAGCAAGAATTCGTCTTGGATAAAAATATCCATGGAGATTTGGGATGGAAACAACAGTTGTACAGCGGAGTTGCAGAATCTGTGATGAGTGACGGACACCGACTTGACCAGTATCTGAAAGTGTGTGAACATCTAAGACTCATTAGAAATATGTGTGTAGAATAATAAACCCCACAGTGTTTGAGTTAGGAAAATACTATTTGTCAAATATAGATACTATTCTTAAAAGATTCTCCCATTTTTTATTTTGCACCTGTAAGATAACTTAAATTTTAGGGGGCGACAATGTTAATTTTCTTGTTTTGACAAGCTCTTCACTTAAGACAGTAAAGCAAGTCCCAGCTGTGTTTGGGTACAAGTGACAGGATGAACAACCCAGCGGGTTTTCTTCCTATTGGGGAGTGCTGTATATGCTGCTATGACGGTATGTGTTCACTTACAGGATGAGTGGCGCTGTCCAATAAACTCGCTCCTCGCGGAAAAATTAAAATAACAAATTAGGTCGTTAGATTGTTAGGTTTGTTTAAAAAGTTGTAATGATGGAGCAGAATTACCTTTAAGGGTCTTTAAGAACTTTATATGTTGTACATCTGCTTCAACAAGGAGGCACAAAACCAAAGGGATAATGTACAGAATAATGGCATGCAGAACACAGGAACATTCCCTTGGCCCACTAAGAACATCATTAGGAGTCTAAGTTACTTTTACACTATTTCCAGAAGCCTAGTAAAAAGTATGCATTGTGTGCATACACTGGCTGAGAACCCCAAGAACCTTGGGGTTCAGTGAATAGGGGAACAGGAAGACATAATTAAAGGGGAAGTCCATCATCCAGGACACCACCAATCTTTCAGGAAGGACAGAACAACAAGGCAGGTGGTGTGATACTATATACAGTACAGTATATAAAAAAAGATAACCTAACTGCAAACCAGCATTGAGGAACTAAGCAGCTTGGGATCCTCAGAATCTGTATAGTGCAATATACTAGCACGAAATGGTAGCAAACTGGCAGTGGGAGTATGCTATAGGGCCTGGTCATTACTACTTGAAAAGCCTTGAATCATCTTGTATGTCATCCTCGCTATCAGACTCCGTTGACATAGCAGAGGTTTCCCCCATTTCCTTTATAAGTAAGTTGTCGTCGTTCCCTGTAGTGGTCAGCACAAGTTCACAACTTGCAGGAGCGCTCCCAATGCATGTCTGTCATTAAATATGCTTGCTGACATTTTTTTTTCAACAATTTGTTTCTTCAAATTAATAACATTTAGCCATTTCAGCTATTAAAAATATCCTCATTTTGAACCAGGCTATATTTGGGTGTGCAATAACAAGTGCCAATTCTTGTGGTGTTATAAATATTTGCATTAGCGAACAGTTAAGAAATCTGATTTTCTGAAACAATATTGTTAGTAATTAATTTTAGACTGTGTAACTTATGATGTACAATAGAGTACTATATTTCTGTAACTAGCTTCTGTGTACACTACTATTACATTTTTTTGCAGAATGAATCTTCATCAGCAGAGACATCATCATCTAGCAAAGCCGGTGCAGAATACGAGAGCAAGATGGAGACGGATAGGTCCAAAAGGTTTGACTATCTCCTCAAACAAACAGAGATCTTTTCTCATTTTATGGTTGGTGCCAGAGACAAGACTCCAACCTCTCCCCTGAAATGCAAACCCGGGCGTCCTAAGAAGACCGAGACTCGCAAGCCATCGGTGATTGGCGAGTGAGTAACTGTTGTGCGAGTCACCTTTAGTATGTTCTGTGCTGGACTCGGTGTTAGGTTTAGAATATTAATTGATGATCTTTTAGTTGCATTCAATATGTTATATTTGGCACAGTGTAAAGTTTTTGTATTTGTTATAAATATAGTAATGAATATAAATTGATCTGTTGTTGGATATTGCCATTGTGGGTGATATGGAAATATGTTGTTGCTAGTTTTGGATGAGTATTAAGCTTTCTTGGAGGACACACTTTAATGTTGAAATATAATTTTCAACATAATACTGTAATGACATAACATCTAACATTACATGCATTACTATGCCGTGGTATTGAAAAAGAGTCTGTTCCCCCATTGTTTCTTTGATTTTAACTTTGTCAAAACTTTAAATTCATGCTAATAGAGAAAGCATTAACCACTGAAGGGTTTAAATGTAGCGCGTTTAATGATGGGTTCAGGAACTGTTGTATTTTGTCTTTTCATTTTTTTGTTTTCATAGTAACTAGTGTATGTATGAACAAGCCAAATGAAATTTTGAACGGTGGCAACTAGTGTCAGATTATTAAACTGTGTACATTTGTAGCAGGTTCAGCAGTAAGTTTTCAGAATAAGTTTATAATTATCTAAATAATATTTATAGATATGGAAAACACCTAAGATGTATTGGATGGCTTTTTAGTCTTATAGGCCGTGATGGGGAAATGGAGATGTACAGTAAGAATGTTAGGATAAGAAAATAATTTTTAACTAAAGAAAATTAAAGAAACTTAAGTTTTTAATTGAAAACAAGGCAGTGCTTTAGAAAAGAATTTTGGTGTGAAGGAACATACGAAGCCTAGAATGATGGGTCAAGGAGAACTGCTTATTCTTGCTCAATATAATTCTTTATTTTTGTTAGCTTCATGAATATTAATGTTCCTTTTGAATACTCGATACAGTAGTTTGTTTTAGACAATTTTAAGTTATTGTATAAAATTTGATCTGGTCAATGACAAACTTCTCAGCCATAAAATTTAATAGAGTAAATTGATGTTGGTAACTATTTGACATTTGTACAGTATCACTAGCAAAAATATGTACAGTATTTGTGAAGAAGAGAAAACACTTATAGTTATTTAAAACTAAACACTGTAGGTCCTAAAATTAATATTTTGGAGGACCCCAACATGGGGGTGTCTTGTTACTAAATTTAAGTCTGCCAAACTGAATGTAGTGTTTCCTGATCTTTAAATCCCATCCATAATAGGGCTAGCCCTCCTATATTCAATTTACAAAGCCAAAACTCGTGGAAAATTTAATTAAAGGCTGCAGATAAGTAACAAAATGTATCTATTAAATATTCTTTATCATCAAGGGCTACGTATTCGGATTTTGCCAGTTTATGGACGGGAAAATCTGTGGATCAACTGGATGAAAACCAAACTAAGGACCTAAAAAAGTGAGTTGTTAAAAATGCCATGGATCATGTGGACTGCCTTTGTTTGTAATGTGAGAGTACTGTACTTACAAGTAGGGCTGGCAATGGCCAGTTAATAATAGGGGCTGGAGTTGCCACCCATTTTGAAAATAGTTGTAGGACAAGTATTTGTCAGTGATTACAGGGGGGGGGGAAGCAGATTTGCCATTAATTTTGAAAATTAACAGTAGCAGTCTTAAAATAATTAAATAATTGGAGAACTGGCCATACTAAAACTAATTATGATTTACAGAAAATGGGAAAAAGAGGATAAACTTTACTAAAATGTGAATATTTTGTCTAGGAAATATGTGTCTATATATATATTATTGTATTGTATTTATAGTGAAGTGTTGGTGAAAGATGGTTCTTGTAGGATTCTGGAAAGGAATAAGCCATCATAGATGTTGATAGTGTATTGTAGGAAATTTGCCTGTTATTAAACTGTGCTCACTGAAATTACCAAAAGATATGAAAGTGTACACGCACAGTTATCCTTACAATATTTTGTAACACCCAGTACCGCACACACATGCAGTCAATTATCGGTAACTGTATATGTATGATTGGCTCCAATGGGTCTCAAATTTGGTTGGGCACGAATATTAGTTTCTACCCTCGAATGGGTTAATTGGCTACTGATGAAATGTCTATGGAAATGAGATAAAGCTTTTTACAGTTTAAAGATTCATCAAGCACATTTTCCATTCCTTGTTTGTCATGAGGATATATCCTAGCTATCATGAGGACATATCCTAGCTGTCATGAGGACATATCCTGTCATGATGACAGCTAGGACATATCCTAGCTGTTATGAGGACATATCCTAGCTGTCATGAGGACATATCCTAGCTGTCATGAGGACATATCCTGTCATGATGACAGCTAGGACATATCCTAGCTGTTATGAGGACATATCCTAGCTGTCATGAGGACATATCCTAGCTGTCATGAGGACTTATTCTAGCTGTCATGAGGACTTATTCTAGCTGTCATGAGGACATGTCCTAGCTGTCATGAGGACATGCCCTAGCTGTCATGAGGACATATCCTAGCGCTCTTGAGGACATATCCTAGCTCTCTTGAGGACATATCCTAGCTCTCTTGAGGACATATCCTAGCTGTCATGAGGACATATCCTAGCTGTCATGTGGATATATCCTAGCTGTCATGATGTAACATTCCATTTGAATCTACTGTTGTGGTGAGAAGTAATCAGAGGAAGGGAGGAATAAGTAAGGAGGAGGAATGGGTGAGGAGGTGAAAGGTCAGAAAACGAGGACACGAAGGGGGGGTAGAAAACGGGATCAGATGGGAGAAGGGAGGAGGGAGGAGAGATGAAGGAGTAGTAGAGGAGGAGTAGGAGTAGACTGAGTAAGAATAGAGTGAGAGGGAGTAGTGTGACTCTTAATATTGATGTTAATTACTTGAAATACATGCTGCCACCATCCTGTCAGTTCTACAACATTTTCCTCAATTACTAAATAGTGTGACAGGAAGCACCATTCACTGAGGTCTTTACTGAATAAATTCATGAGTAACCCACCAGCTGGGTGAGGTGAGGGAGAGACGTCATGTGGCTCACTTGCCACCTTGTTATCTCTATTCGAGTTTTCCTAGAGAGATCCGTAATGCTGATCTCCTTATAAATACTGTCATGGGATATTGATGTAAAAAGAGGAATGAATAAAATTAAAGCTTGTTATTCTACACTTAAATTTTAATACGCTTAAAGTATTTACCTTTCCAGTACTTTAACACTAGTTCTGCACTTATAGACGCTTTGCCTACTTACTATATTAACACTGAATTAGTAAAAGAGGGGAATTAACCACTCCACACTCCTCAGTCATACATGGCTAACTGGTTCAAATTCTACTAACACTCATCAACCACTAAGACACCCTGGTTCAACAAGCAATGCTGACACTCTTACCTCGCTCTCAGATGGATGCACCCTAGGTGGGTGACTGGGTGTCACCCACCAGGGTGAACATTGAGGGAAGGAACTATGTTGAGGTCCACCCCTTGGCCAGACTCCACTATGACTGATCAACCACCCACTTCCCACCGTGGGAAGGGTGAGGTACTTTTGCAAGCCAGAACAAGGGCTTCCTTGTTGGAGAACTGCTGACAGCAGGTGTCAGCCTGGTTGAGCTTGCTCATACCACCTCCCACTCTTACTAAATACGCACACATGCGCACACCTCACACACACAACATAAAATTACAACTCATAATTAACATGAAAGAGTGCAAAACACTTGCACTGTTACAATGAGGACATATCCTAGCTATCATGAGGACAAATCCTAGTCAAAATTATGAACATTTGTTCATTCCATGTCACTTTAATAATTTTTCTGTGGAGGAGCCCCGTCAGCTCCCTTGAACTATTGGACTGATATTAGCTAATATTAGTATGAGGTTTCAGTTATATGGAGTTGTCATGCCTACCGGAGACCATTAGCCAGGACCTGGTCCCCTCGGAGAGGTGCAGGGAGCAATGGCCTATGAAACTCACATGTATGAAAGTAATCATGTCTGCCATCGACCGGGGTTGAGCACCCAGAAAGTTAGGCGCTCCAAAGCAGATCCCTCCTGATAGAAAAATTTCAACCTGAAACTAAACCGCCCTTTCCCTGGGCCTTCGAGGTTGCTCACCTGACAGGGGCAAGTTTGTCTAAATAATATATGGGGGTTACAACCTGTCTTGGCAGCACTAGTGCCTGGATTTTCCGTAGGGATACATTCCCCTTATGGACTCTGAAACCCGTTGGGGCTTGGTTGACCGATGGATGTATCCTCAGAGTCCCTTCTTGCCTTGTGCGAGTTTGAAGATTGTTCAATTGTTCCTTTCTCAGGGTGACGATTTTACCTCCATCATGCTGCTTGTTGGGCTGCCGACACCTTCGACCCGGAGTCTTGTGACACTTGTTCGCCATTTGTAATCCAATTTACCTGCTCTGCTGTAGCTGATGTTAGGGGTCAAGCAGCATTGCATGTCAGGTTTTGGTTGCCGGCTCAAATGCCCCGGTGCTGCCCTGTTTTGGTTTTATTGACTCGGAGTTAGGGACGTTGGTCACTCCGGCCTTGGTTCAGTCCACACCCTTTTGTCCTCCTCTTGTTGGTGTGGTTCACCGTTCTCATCATCCCCCCCCCCCCCTCCTGCTGCCGGCTCCCTAACATCTGAGGGTTTCGTGTTCGTGGCAGGGTTTAGCTGAGGATAAGACTCGGCAGCTCTGTGGGTTTCCCTATTTGATGCAGGGACGGAAGCATTTGAGCCTGTACCTCCCCCTGAAGCTTCTGGATCCTTCCATCAGGACCCTTTCTTAGGTGCCTTTTCTTTGGACACTGCCTTTTCTTCAAGGATGGAGGGTGTTGAGGACGGCTCTGCCCCAGGGTCCCTTGTTGGGGTTCCCCTGGGCTTTTGAGGGAGCTCGCCTGCGAAGGTTGGGCTTTTGTGCCTTCTGGGTTTGGGTTTTTCATCCCCCTCCTCCCATCTGCGTTAGTTTCCCACATTTGCAAGCGTAATTTTGGCGCCATTGCTACAGGCAATGGATGGATTGTTTTGGTGGTCATTTTGCTTTTCTGCGTGCGTTTCTTGGCCCAACCGCCAGGGCGGCACGGTTACTTCTTTGTTTACATGTAGCTGAGAGTGTGCGCTCACATTTTTGGGAGAGTTCTTCACCTTCCGGTGGTGTTTTACCCCTGATGCAGTTTCACTGTTTTGCAGGCGCTTTTTGTTTGTTGCCGTTCTCTTTCTGGTTTATTGGTGTTCCGGGGTGGGTGTTCTCCCACTCCCGGAAGGGTTGTGCCGGGGTTTGGGTCTTTGCAGGTCGAGGTGGGCCTTTGGTGCCAGCTTCTGCGCTGGTGCCACTTCTGGAGCCGTCTTCGTTTTGTCGGTACAGTGCTCGCTCTGCTTGGGGGTTGGCGTCTCGGATGGGGGCGCTGGTCCATTTCATGGGTCGCCCCATTGACGGGGCAATAAGGGGGAAGCTGACGCTGTTTGCCCACACTTGGTCCTGTGTTTCATGGGTGTATCGGGTCGTGTCTTCCAGCCTACGGTGGCATTGGGCGGCTCCTCCTCCTCCTCCTCCTCCTCCTCCTCCTCCTCCTCCTCCTCCTCCTCCTCCTCCTCCTCCTCCTCCTCCTCTTCCTCCTCCTCTTCCTCTTCCTCCTCCTCTTCCTCCTCCTCCTCCTCTGGGGGATTCGGAGCTGGCAGGGCAAGCTTCTTCCCCTTCGCTTTGTCAGGTCATCTTGGAGTGGGGGTGTGCTTGGGCGTGGCCGAAGCGACCTCGTCCTTCAAGTGGGTTTTCCACTTGTATCCAGTCAGAACAGAACTGTGTAGTTCTGTAGTTCATTTTAAATTTGTCCCGTTTGAACCACTGGATTCCTTGCCCCTGCTTTCGGATGACCACCTTGTCCCAGGTCTGACTTCTCTTGGAAAAGGGTTCTTGGATAGTGTGTCTGGACCTCCGGGATGCATATTAGCGCATCCCTATTCATCCGGGGTTCAGAGACTGGTTAGGTTTTGTGGTGAGGCATCAGGCCTATTGCTTTCATTGCCTTCCTTTCAAGCTGATTCTGGCACCTCACATTTTCATGAGTCTTACCTGGGGTCATGGTGGCCTGTCTGCGTCTCCTAGGTGTTCGGGTTTTGGCCTACCTCGACGACTGGTTGGTCTGGGCTCCCTGCCAGTCCACGTGTCTGCTCGTCAGGGGTTTCCCAGCTTTCTGGGTTTGTGGTCCTGGTGAACTAGAGGAAGTCCCAAGACAAAGGAGTGTATAAAATTATCTTGTGCAGTCTGGTAGATGCAGGTATTTCATGGGTGCACGTTGGGAAGGGGAGGAAGAGAGCGAGTGCCCCATGTCTTGGTTAATGTTGCTAGGCTGAAGTCGATTAATTCTAACACTCAATAAATGGATATTTAGCACAATTGTTGCTTAAGTTTGTCATGTGATGGGTCATGTAATGAGCA